AATTTTATTGAAAAATGAAAAAAAAGACTTCTAAAACGCATTTTATATCTTTTGAAATTTTCGAAAATTATGAACTTTTTGCAAAGAAGAGAAGAAATACCGAAACTCAATTACCATTTTTCGTAATTGCCTGTACCAAAAGGTAATCAGCACGTCTCCCTATCAATACATAAATCTAATATTTTTTAATTATTCAAGTCGATTTCGAGAACACGGATCAACCGATTTAAATGATTCAATTCCTATTGATAAGGAAAGGTGCTGATTAGTTATTGGCTAAGGCAGGTCCAATCGTTTTGAAGATACGGGCCAAAATGCCAAAAATGATAATTCAGTTTTTGAGAAAAAAAGCGTCCAATATCATTCAAAAAAATTTATAGAATAAGTTACAGAATAAGTAATTTGTGGGGTGAGGTTTAGCGGTTTCGATGATCCAAAAAAAAATTTGGAAAAGAAACATTTGGCGGACAAAAGTGATCATAAGATATGTGCACATTAAATTATCAGATATTTTAAAGATATTATAATAATAAGTATAAATTTTGTTTACATTTATATAAGTTCTGTAACATTGTTTATCCGATAGACTGCGACGCGGCGCTTACGCGCTTCTATATTTTGTCCCTCGCAGCTGAAGCAGCGCGATTGCTTTAAAAAAAAGTTCGAAAGTTTGTAAAATTTCAGGGATGGGGCGGCATTTTTGTCAGTGCCCCGGGGCGCCAAATTTCTAAATACGGCCCTGGATATGTGGATTATTACCACTGGATAAATTATTTTTTTGTAATTTTAACCATTAATTGTGCAATTAGTTTAAATCTATCTATCATTTCAGTCCCATCACGTAACAAGCCCGCCCAAGTGAAAGCTATCTGAATCCGCTTTGATCGAGGCGATGGATGCATAAGTTGTGTTTGTGGTTTTACCACACGTGTTCCGCAGGGTGGAAGCTGCATACACAAAGGCGTCTACACGCTCAATGCAGAACCGCAGAAGCAAATAAGGTGCATCGTACCAGTAATAAAGGTTAGACTTTTTATGATATATATTACAGTCTGTTTTATGAATGCACATAATAGAAATAGTATCATGTTGAAAATATTAAAACATGGTTAAATATCATAGTGTACGTGTGCCGCGAGTCGAATGCATATCTTTTTCGAATATTTTGAAATCTACATGAGGCAGCGATCCGTAATAAAAGTTCTGGGATAAAGAATTGCATTTAGCAATTAATATTTTCTTAATTAAAATTAATTAATATGCAATTCTAGTGCAATTCTAACAAGTTAGCAAGTTATTTCTCTCGTGAGCTTTTACTTATTGTTAGATATACATAATCTTAAGTAACAAACTCGTGAGAGAAATAAATACTACCTCATCAAGGTGCTTCAAGAATATATTTGAGGCCTGATTTTTTTAAATATTTTTTGTTTTTCATAATGAATTTTTAAAAATATAAAAACGCATATGACTCAGTTTTTTGATCAGTAGTATACAGAAATATTTTTTTTAATACATTGTAATATAAATTCTATTATTTGAAAATGTAAATTATACACATCTATTCTAGATGCATTTAGTAGTTTAACATTCTAGTAAAACATGTATGACTAAAAGGATGAATTATTAGGTTCATTTAGAAATCTGATTGGTGATTTGATTGATTCAGACTTAAACCAAGTGTCATATCGCGAGCCCAACATTATATTTTTGAATAAAATATTCCACCGTCGAAAAAATCGCAAACCATATACTTTTTGTTAGTTTTAGAAACTAATTTAAATTTTAACTCTACTAGAAATTAAGAAACTTTATTCTGATCAAATGACCTCATCATATAATTATGTTATGATGTTATATGATAAATTTCTTAGTTATAATTTAAGGGATATTAATTTTGAGTTTCCTTAATGAATCAATTTATGCTTATGAAAACTATTGTGTCGGTTCTATGAGCATAGATGTATTAGATATGCAATTCACAATTTTCAGTAATAACAAAACAACCAATATATAAAATACAAATGAAGGAATGCTAAAATAATTTTGTGTCTTGATTTTATGAAACTTGATATTAAGTCTTCGTTTAGACTAGAGCATCTTTAAAAGTTGAGGTCCTGTATATCAATTGATTTGCAGAAATTTGTAAAAAGTTTAAAAGCTTTTCTGAAATTTTTTTCTTTGGGTGCTTTTATATTCTATTCAATGATAAATGGGACATCAAAAATATTACGGTATTTCATAAAATATTGTTTCTAAAATTTTAGACTCAAGATCGTCAGTTTTCAATCATTTCGATTTGGGTACTTTTATATTCTATAATGAGAATATCGACGATAAATGGGACATCAGAAAGATTACGGCGTTTTATCAAATATTGTTACTAAAGATTTAGACTCAAGATAATCAATTTTCAATCATTTCGATTTGGGTACTTTTATATTCTATAATGAGAATATCAATGATATTATAAATGGGACATCAAAAAGATTACGGCATTTCATCAAATATTGTTACTAAAGTTTTACACTCAAGATCATCAATTTTCAATCATTTCGATTTGGGTACTTTTATATTCTATAATGAGAATATGGGACATCAAAAAGATTACGGTATTTCATTGAATATTGTTACTTAAGTTTTAGACTCAAGATCGTTAATTTTCAATCATTTCGATTTGAATTGATCATTTGAATTGATCAAAAGATTACGATATTTCACCAAATATTGTTAATAAACTTTTAGACTTAAGATCGTCAATTTTTGCTTTTATATTTTACAACCTATGGTTTTATCATCGAATCCTCTAGCACATTGAAGAATGTCTGAAATTGAGTCACTTTAAAATACGAATTGAATTTACTTCTCTATTAACATAATAATAAAACTAAAAATATGAAAATCGCGAGATATTTTGTTTATAAATAGATTACAATAAAGGTTGTGTACGGATGCAGTGGTCAGAGTTATTGCGATGAACTTGTTGCATCGACCTCCCAAGAATTCGCTAACTACTCGGCGCCGATGTTTTGGCTTGCAAACACCCGGTAGACAAGTCGTAAAAACATTTAAACATATTCGCAAAAAAATCCTTTTTAGTCATTTAAAAATACAAGTTGTTCTAATTTCAATCTTGCCAATGTCTATTTCAAAATTTCGGGAGAATTGTTTTGATACGAAATATATCTAAAATCTATAAAATTGCAATTATGATAAGATTCTTTTGAATAAGTAACATATAGGATGTAGTTTCGAAAACAGTACTTTAATGCCTCATGTACACATTTGCAAACATTTGACAAATCCCAAAAAGGAGAATCGATTCTAAATCAAACTTTGGTTTCTTTAATTTATGTGGGAAAAAGTTTAATAGTTTCAGTAATGCTTGTTTAGATTTTTAAGGTGAATTATTTTATCTATGTTGTTAGTTTTATCAACGGCTAATTCTACCTATAGGCGTAAATAATACAAACGTGCAATTGTTCCATATGGTTTCCAAATTTTTTTTCCAAATTACAATTGTTGGATTGTAGTTTTATTCTAATTTATAGAATTTATATTCATTTACTGATTAATAATAAACAGGGTATATTTATCATACATTAATATAAACTGACTGACTCGATAAAATATCTATACTTTTTTATACTTTATCTATAAAATATAATTTCTAACATAAATTATTTACATAAGTACATCCATTAAATTATTTGTTGTTACATACAAACAAACAATAAATTGAATTAATGTCATTTAATCTCATTCAATTAAGTTTCGTATGAAATTCTAGAAATAAATTAGTAAAACAATTTTATTAAACAAATTAAAATAATAAAATAAATAAAGCGAAGTAGTTATAAATTATTGCCATTATACGAGTATTAACCGTTCTATCCTTTAATTAATATATAATGCTAATATAGTAAATTGTATCGAATAACATAATTAACGAAAAAATAACTATAAATAGTAAGATATTCAAAATATTTATTTTAAAAAATCCACGCCCACGCGAATCAGTTTTTGCGATTCATTGTTTATTTGATAGTTTCACAAATATTATAACGAAGGTCAAAAAATGTCACATATGAAAATAAGGATGTTTGTGTTAATTTCTTGCAAGTGCGGAAGATAGTTGCTTTCCAAACCGCATTCACATCCGATTAGTAATTTCAATATTGTTTAAGTATTCGTCATGTTACTGAGAAAGACTCAGAATAAAGCAGAAATAATATATCAGACAGAGAGATTCCGTTGCGAAAATTATTTTTAGCCCAAACATTTATTTTGAAATTAGTGGCGTGATTGTAACCAGATTAAAGTAGGATGTAATATATATCCATTATCTAAATTCAGTAATACTGTACAAATTTAGCATAGCCTATTACGCTATTAGGTGCAGGTTTGGGGTGTAAATAGAAGACATAGCGAGATGCAGATTTAGAAATGGGAGTTATGATAATTATTAAAAAATTGTCTTCCGACGTGTTTTTGATAGAAGTCCAGTACATACGCATTTGAAATACTTGAAATACAAAAATTTAATATGGAAAGTGTTGTCTGAGCAGGTCTTCTAAATAGCATTATTTTTCGAATTTAGATTTGACTTCAATTTTTAAATTTGAATATTATCTTTATGAATCAAATCAAAACAAGTTCTAATTCTAATACATAGAATTAGAAAAATATGTTTTTAATTTTTTCTATATAAGTAAAGCATTAAGTAATGATCATGTTATAAAAAATATTGTTTAATATTTATCAAATAGTTAATTAATTTTGATTCAATTTTCAATTTCTTGAATTTCGATAAAATATCTAATGAGAACAGGTAACATAAAGCAGTTAATAAAATTGCTTTGTGATGAATATTTATATTCAGCACTAATTTATATATATTTAAATTCAAATATATTCTTGTTTATCTATGAATTCCACGCAATTTATAATATCATAATTTTAAATTGAAAATCTAATTATGAGAAAGTTTTAAGTTTTACCGTGATTTGTCGTGGAATATGCTCCAGTGTATGAAAATGGGTCCATCATAGGTGGTGTGTGATGTCCAGTGGACATAGTAGATGTCGCAGAAATATTATGCTGATCTTGCTGGGGAATCGGACTGGTTGACTGTTTCACAAACGTAGTATCCATTGAAAAAGGCGTACTCGTCCAGGAATCTGCTGTTTGTCCATAAGCGTGGCTTTGATAATCATTATAAGGCTGATACATTTGCTGAGGGTAGCCCCCACAATTTTGATAGTCCTGACCGACGGCAGTTGCGGCTGACACTAAACTTTGATCATAAGGTGGAGCGGTATAAAATCCACTTGGTGTTAAATGTGGATGAGAATACTGAGGCTTCATTTGACATTTTCGTCTAAACCCTCGCGGTCTTCTCCTATAGCTGCCTTCTTCGAACATATGTTCACTACGTTCATCTATCATCCAATAATGGCCTTTACCTGGTCTTCCTAAGCCTTTAGGAAGCTTTATGAAACATTCATTTAAACTTAAGTTATGTCGAACTGAGTTTTTCCAGCCGTTGTAAGTACCTCGAAAGAATGGAAATCGTTGCTGAAGGAATTGATAAATTTCACTCAAAGTTAACCTTTTAGTTGGACTACTCTGGATAGCCATGACAATTAATGCTATATATGAATATGGCGGTTTCTCTTGCCTTCTTGCTCCCGAAGCAGCATTTTTTTTAGGTTGTTGTTGTACCGTCGTATCAGCGGCCGCGGATGATGGTTTCTCCTGACAAACGTTCAAATGTTGACTCATTTGTTGGGCTAATTGGTTAACACCGGTAGCAGAATTTGTCATTAAATCTTGTGTTGTTTCTTGTTTCATCATTTTTCACAAAATAACTGAATCACTCAGAAAAGTTTGTAGTAACAAAAAATCTTAATACTTTATTCACATACGAAAAAAAACATTTATGTAAACAAGCCCAATGTGTGGGACCAAAACGTGCCGGGTTCGCTTGAAGACTGCTCTGATTTTTTACGCGTGTTTCATTACGCGACTTGGCGCCCCTCTTGACGAAGGAATTCGTCCCGCAAAAGCACACAGAAGGCGGCGCGAAGACCGAACATCGACCAATAAAAGCTCTATGTTTCGTGAAATGGATCGTGGTATCCTAAGATTTAATAAACAGGGACGAATTTTCATTAAGCATTTTATATATAAGGTGTATCGAAACCCAATACAGATTTATATGCTTAATTAGGAACAATAATTAAGTACTTTTATTATCGCTGTGCCGTAAATTGTATTTGTATAAACTGAATTTGAATAGCTTGTACTTGTTTTTTGTTGAAATTAATTTTAATACAAGCTTTATCACGTACATTTTAATTTAAACTATTGTATTGTTTTATGTGATTTTTTTCTGAAATCATATTGACATTTACTTAACACATAACAATTATTAAATGATTGTTTAAATATCTCATAAAATCATTTCCTTCTATTAAAAGATGAACAAATTTATAAAGGCGATATATCATAATAGATTAATATTATGTAATTATTATAATTTTATTTTTGGAGATCTAAATAAAAATGTTTGTTTTATTATACATATTTGTTTTAAAAAGTAATAAGTAATAATTTAGTTATATATTTTCTAATATACTATATAATATAATTACTAATATACTATAATACCGTCACGACAATAAATGTACCTACTTGAATATTTGATCGCTTTCTGCTGGTCTCTTACTTTATAGACTATTTTTTTGGAAAATAATGTATTTTCATAATAGTTTTACCTTCTTCGGTGGTGTAGATTCATTCATAAAATTTTAAAAATATTTTAAAAGATTTTTTTTACGAATAAATGTATAATGATATAAGACGCTTATTGATTCTTGGGCGCTTACACAAGTAAAGGAGCATTTCGATTGTTTTAAATACTATATTGATTTTTCACTGACTACAAATGAATTTGAAATTATGGTAGATTTTATTGATAATTAATCAAATAATAATAATAATTAAACAAAAATAAATAGTAACTTCAATCTAAAAATTATTTCATAAATAATAGTTGAGTAGCAGTTGAGATTTGTCGCAAAACTATTAAGCCCTAAATCTATTGCTGCGTTGGCGTTACTAACCAAATATTGTTTCATTTATTTATAACTTTACTTCGGTTTCATATTTTTTTATTCATTTTTTTTTTCTGTGAATAAAAATAATTTCTTAGAGTTTTTCATACACGGCTCTGTTTGAATTTGTAGGTGGAGCCAAAATCTCATTAGCATCTCAGCTTCTAAGTTCACAAGATTACTCGCACATGTTTCCTGTAAAACGAACACAAGCAAATAACAAATACTTGTCTGAGCTCTATCAACTTATTATGTGCTTAATTGATTTAATTGAACATCTAACAACAAATTAAGGATTTATTTTAAAATGTTTCAAAATTGTATTTACTTACATCTTTTGTTTATAATTTAAAAGCCTTTACAATAAGTTTTTATTACTCCATTCCACATAAGATGTACTATTTCATATTTTGTTTTGAAAATGTAGTTCCAACCAGTGCAATTTTTGATAATTTTGATAGGTTACCACCATGGTTTTGTATTCTAATTAAAATGTACATATAGATAAACTTTATTGATAAAATTTTTATATAAATCGTTTAAATTATACTGACATGATGGTACAAAAAATATATATTAGTTTTCTTTAAAGTTATTGTAATATATTTCGAAAATTGAATATCTAAGTATCAGTATCAACTTCGCCTAAAATTTATCATTTAACCTTTGTGATTTTTTTGTCTTATAATTAATCAGTTATTTTTATTTCTCAAATATTACGAAAATTCTTCTTCAGCAAGCAGTAACATTACTATAAATTTGTAAATTATTTTTTTTTACAAGAAGGGTTTTTACAAGAAATATGATACTAAATTCACAAGTTGCTAAAAAAGTCTAGTATTTTGAGTACTCGTAACATAAATTATATTACGGAAATTTACAGAGGTTTTGAGTTTGAGTATAGTGCGAAAATTTTAAATTTCTTAGCAATTATTAAATTAATTTAATGTCAAATGATTTTGAATAGTTTGATCTTTAAAGCTATTCTATACTATTTATACGATACGAGCTTATGAATAATCTTATTTATTTAAACAATTAAATTATTATTATATTTATATTAGAAAATAAAAATAAATAAAACGTTTTATCCACTTGTAGAGAATGAAGCTACTATTTAAATTTCAAAAAGAGATTGTACCATGCTCTTTACTTAAAATACTAAATGTAGAAATGATCAGAAGCCCAGTCGTAAAATTTTACAATGTGCTAAAATACTTGTAGTTTAGTACTTAAATGTCAACAGTTTCTTGTTTTATGTGTTTTCCAAAATTTTCACTTTTCTGATATGCGGGTGTTGATATGGTCACAAAATTTTATGATTCTCTACTTGAAATAAAATCTATTCAACGTTGAACAAGTGTGACACTGAAAACGTAAATATTAGTTTTATTGCTTTTGGTAAGATATCCGTCCGCTTGTTTGACTATTTTCAGGAACTCTGTAAATATGTGTAAATTTTGTGATTTAGGTTGTGATTGAAGTCGGGATTCACTCTTCTCGACATTTTTAGCACTTTTAAGTTGTTGATTAAATTTGTGCTCATATGCTAAAATAATAAATATTAGCTATTATAATTTATTGCACCTTAAATAACAGTATTTTATGTACAAGGAATAGTAGGAAGCTCAATTAATATGCTTAGGCTTTCAAATTTCTGCGAAATTTTATTATCGATTATTTGATTAAAATTTTAATTGAATTGAATTCACAAAATTTTTTCTATTGTTTCTTAATATTGGTTTTACGACTTCCATCTATTCCCAAAAACATTGGAATACTCTTTCGAAACGCTTTTGGATTGGGAAACAGTCCTTATAGGTGCTTGATATAAGGCCGTTGGTGGTTGGCATCGAATCTGGATACTAAAAGGTTACAGCTCCTATCCAAAAAATAATATTTCATAATTTTATATTGAAATGTGACCAAGAAATAAATCATATGTAAGCGATTAGATGTTGCCAATAAATGTACTAACTAAACAAATGCATATCATTTTTCATAATCTGTAGTTTATCCTTTTTCCTATAACTTTGTGAACCATTAAATGAGCTCAATGCCCTTTGGTGTTGCTTAAATAATTAAATAATTCATTTTATGTCGTATTTGCGGTCATAGTACGTGGCAGTAGATCTCGGACATTGTAAATAAATTCGTGAGGTTTGTGTATTTCTGTTTATGAAAACCATTTTATAGCTTTTCAAATACATCACATCATCCCGCCGATGTAACTTCTTCTTGGACAAGGTCAGTTCTGTGACGAAATTTAAACAAATTCTGACGCTTGTAAACAATTTATAATAAGATTTCGGTTTTTTTACAACGTGTTAATGACAAATATAAAAAAGAAAATTTTGAAAACGATCTACACTACAGTTGTTTAGAGTTGTTGTAATATGTTTACTTGATATGTAATATAATATGTAAACGCATTAATCACTCATATAAAATCATACGGAATGTATTCGGCTATTATGTTATATAATGTGCATTATTTACACTCGGGATAAATATTTATAAGGCGGTGCTTAAACTGGCGGTATCCGTAGAAACTCAAAATAAATACTTACCTCAATAGTAAATAAATGACTGAATTGTATATTTTCTTATTTGTGTGATGAATACATGCGACTTAAGTATGATTGTTATAAATATTTTTATTAATATTATTACTGTAAGTGTGAACTTTATATGTAGATGATGGTTCAAATGATTCTGAAAGAATTTTCAGTCAGAATGTTGATTTATTGAATTTGGGCTTTTTATTGGATTTCAGTATGACATACATTTTCACTTACAAAATAAATCAAAACATTATTATCAAAATACATGTTAAAATAATTTTATATTTTTACTTGATAATTAGCATAACAAGAATATATTTTATGTGATAATTTAGATGATAAAGGTTTTAAGTAAATAATTGATAATGGTTTTCGATGAATTATTTTCATACTAATGTTAACGTTTTTATGTCTAAAAAAGTGATTCATTGAATACAGACGACAAAGCCAGACAGAGTTTCGTGATTAATTGCGAGATTTTGGACTAGATGTCTGCTTAAAAAAGAATTATTGTAGAATTATTTATGGTAAATAGTCTTCAGATTCAAATATCTGCAAATATAATATGTAAGTATATTGTATTTTAATAATTTGTGCATGTTTATGAGAGCCAAATGTAATACAAGTTAGAATTGTATTTCAAATGGAATAGTTTTGTGTCTAACAATAAGGTCTAATGATGATAATAGTGCCACTCAATCCGTAAAAATGAGTAGCTGCAAAGCTATTTAAGTTTAGTTGCAAATATAGAGTAAACTTATTCATGGTCACTCATTTTTAGAAAATTTAAAAAGCTTTCCAATAATATCATAAATTGATCTTAGAACTTAAACATCCAACAAGCTAACGTTTTTAACTTGTTCAGTTTTGGTTAGTACAATTCAGGAATTTATTCTTTTCGTGATTTTTCAATGTTAAATGCGATTTCTACAAAAAGAAAAAAATCAGCGCAAATGCGCTCTTTGCTTTATTATATCACCTAATATGCAGTGAACTTTTTTTTCAATTGTGTTTGATATTTGTTTATAATAACTGATGTGTATTATTTATATTGTAACTCTCAGAAAGTTGAGTAAAAATAGGTTCTCAATTCAAAATTCATTAAAATAGATACGTTCATTTAGAATCGATTTGCTTTACTTTATATTTTACTCGTAGTTCTTAGTATTTTGAA